AAATGTACCTTAGAGATCCTGGCATTTTTTACACTATGATTCCTTTAAATGTGCTTCCAATTTCAAATATTTTTAAGAAAAATGCTGATACAAACAAGGCTGTAGAAAAGTTCCTGCCTTGTTTCCTTCTCCTTGCATCTTCTATTGCAAGTCTTCCATTTTGCACACACACTTTGCTAGGTGAGGTCAGGAGGAAACAATTATTTGGGAAGTTCCAGCAAAAACATACCTTTTGCAACAGGATCCCTGGCTAATCACTCACTATCTTGTTTCCAGGACCTTTGCCCAGTCTCAGTGACCTCATTCTGTTTATTGTTTCTTTACAACTTATGACTTCACCCACTGCACACATCACCTGCGTTCGTCACCGAATACAAAAGTAACAATTTCTGGTTTTCTGCTTATTACAGTAGCTTTGTGCTCTACAGAAGCTTATCAGGCAGCTCTTGAAAGCAAAACCCATTAAATGACATCACTGCTGACGTTATCCATAGGCAGAAGGGTAGCCAAGATTAGTAGGCAATTTGCCATTTGGGCCTTGACTGCCTGCCAACACTACTGCTCTTCCACATGGTGACAGTACCCGCAGTCCAGCTGCAGTTTTGGAAGGGAGGTGAACAGCTACCCAGCTCAGTGCTCTGTGGTTCTGGCAGGCAGATGTGGACACCAAGAAAATCTGTAATCCTCTACTAGTAATTCTCTGAATTATACAGATAACCTGTGCAGCAAGTAGCACGTAGTAAGTACAAGTTTACAGACCTCTTTTCAAGACAGCTCTCATCTGACTTGAACGTGGGACCAGTTGTTCTTTCCCACTAGTCTTTACTTCACCCTTTGAAGGGTGGCAGCTTTGTCTCCAACCAGGAAGCAACAGGAAGTATATATTTCTATACATTTCTATACATATATATATATTTATATATTTCTATACAGATCCCTGATTACACCTACAGATCAGGTGGATGCTATTTACTGAGAGGCATGGCTCCACTGGAATGCAGTCAAACAGAGCTACACCTCAGTGTACAGGCACTGGAGGGTAAAAGTTACTTCTAGAAGCTCACAAAAGGCTTCCAGTATATTTAACTCCCCTTCTACCTGTACACTTTATAATCTGGCACATTTTTCATATTGTTTGTTCTCAGTGGCATCACATACCAAGGTACATCTAAGCAGCCATTCAGTGATTGACAGTGATTGATGCATCCTTCATGGTTTGCTGGCAATATATTGTCTGATCTTGCAGCACTAAGAAATTCTTAAGAGATTAGTGAAACTGTTTCTATGATCCTGCATTACAGTACTTGAAATTTAGCTAGTCCTTCTTGGACATTTACCATTGCTCCACAATCACTTGAGTACAAGGGTTCCTGATTTAGGTTTCAGTTTAGAACCAGTAGCATGTTTCTGGTTTAGGATATCAAAAATATTAATGTCAGGTTGGAAATACAGAAAAGTAAGTACTTTTGTTTTTTTTCTTTAAGAAATTCTTCTGTTTAGTGTGAGTCTTCTCTCTCATTACAGTACTTGAAATTTAGCTAGTCCTTCTTGGACATTTACCATTGCTCCACAATCACTTGAGTACAAGGGTTCCTGATTTAGGTTTCAGTTTAGAACCAGTAGCATGTTTCTGGTTTAGGATATCAAAAATATTAATGTCAGGTTGGAAATACAGAAAAGTAAGTACTTTTGTTTTTTTTCTTTAAGAAATTCTTCTGTTTAGTGTGAGTCTTCTCTCTAAAAAAAAAAAAAAAGGCAACATACCCAAACCAACACAAAATAAAAGGCTGTGCTTCATATTCTTCACAGGCACCATTTGAAAGGTAACAATCATGAAGAAGTCTGTGCTTGCACGAGTAAATCAGATTAAGAGAAGTAAGGAAGAGCAAGTGTTTTAGGAAAGTAGAACACAAGTTACTTCCATTAGCATAGCAGAACAGAATTTAAGCAAGACTCCTGGTGTTTACCACCTTAATAATGCTAATTTAAGAACTGGTAGTCTCTTTTTAACTGTTCCTACAGAGCAAGCAGAGGCACCATAAAAACACTGTAACAAGGAAAAGGACTCCACGAAAGTAAATCCAGCTCTCAAAATACGGGAAGAGAAGAAATCAAGTCACAGCCCTGTGTTCAAATCTTACTGAACTCATCAGAGCTGATGCAATGAAGAGAGAGGGGTTAAGCCTTTAGTACCCACATTTCAGCATTTTGAACACTGTTAAAAATTAAGAACCAAAACAAATATTTGAATGCCTGAGAACATTCCCCACCAGATTATAAATATTTTTATGAGGTTAGATCAAGAGCTTAAACTAATTGCTAAGGGTTCCTTTGAGGTCTTTACATTAGTTACTTCAACGAAAAACAACCTCCAGGGTAGAGCACACCTTTATGTACAACCTAAATAAAGAACTGCCTCACTGAGTGCTCAGTAATGGGGGGATGCAGGAAGAACAGATGCAGGAATTTCAGATACTTGTTAATTGCTCCTTATTCTATCCCAACAAAAAAACCCACCATATTTTCTTATCCCGATGCGCTTATTTAAGGTGACTGTTTTAAACAAGCCAGACTGAATGGCACAGGGAAAACACATGGCACAGGGAAAACACATGGCACAGGGAAAACACAAGTTCAAAGGTTTTTCTTTTTACATGGTGCACTGACCCCTACTCTCATTATGGGTCATAAATGTTAATGAGACTTCGTCACCAGCTTGCTGAGACAATACATTTTATCTCATTTCCTAGAGCCACGTATCAATTAACTCCAAGGAACTTTCTATGAGACTGAATCTAGCACCTTCTCCTTTGACCCCACAACCCCAAAGGTTTCTTGTGTGTGTTTTTTTTGCTAAGTAGCTCACTTTTTAATAGATGGAAGAAAACAACAGGACTGGAAAAGGTATTTTCTTATGGAAGTGTTAAAATCAGAGCAAACTCATGATTAAAGAAGGAAACACTGGAGAGCTGAAGGAGTTGACATTAATAACTTTACTACCAATTCACTTTAGTTGGGTATACTTCCTGAAATAAGTACTTACCTTTAACAGATCAGTAGCACTTTCCTTACATGTCCCTTTGTTCTCATACTTCTCTACCACTGGTTTTAAAGCCATCAGTTGTTACTGCTTTCATAAATATCCCCATCACTAGCGATGTAACCAAAAATGAGATTAAATTCTCAAATCTAATATTTGCTAAGAAAAATGCATCTGACATGCTAAAACAAAAATTTTCCTTTTACTAAGGAAGGTTTTGACACATTAGATTGCCTTTCTCTCCAGTTGACACTAATCCTTACCCCCTGCACATGCCTAAGTTCACCTCAGCTAGCTAATGTGTACTAGACTCTTGCATGTGGTTCAGGTTGCATTTTCAGCTTGAACAAATAACTACCAGGTGCTAGAAATAAAACAATTTTTCACAGTATCATTATGATACACACAATTGGTGTTTGCCCACACTCTCCACTGGGGAGCTGGGGAACCTTCTCTTCCTGGTACTGTCCATTCCTACATCAGCCACAGGCAAGTCTGAGAAAGGAGACACACTGACACCTCCTTCACAGGGTCCAGCAGAGGCAAAAGATGATCAAAGCCATGTCTCATGCAACTCATCTATAGGGGGACAGTAGAAGGAAGGGAAGTTTTGTGATACGCTCCTCCTTTGCTTGGTCTTAAGGATTCCTCTCCAACTTCTCCCTGCCACGAGGTCTCTCAGTTATCAGAGAGCTGCTGTCTCTTTCTATCACAAAAATTAGTCTGTCTTGCTGCATTGAGCTTTAATAGGCTTCTGGTTATTCAAAAAACCTCAGGACAGATGAACAGATTTGGGCATTCAAACTATAACAGGATTTCTTAAGAACTGTTTCTAGATATTTTTTAAATAAGAGTTTTAAATTTAAGGGAGTATTAACCATGTATTTCAGGGCTCTTATATATTAAACATTTACTGTGCCTAGACACCACATATTTACTCAGTGGCTCATATGGAGGAAATATTACTTAATCTAATATTATGGTCCACAACTCACAGGTGAAATTCTTGCCAAGAGAGCAAAGAAAATGGAAACACCAAACATAGCTCAAGTAAAACCCTACTTAGCTGTCTGTAAGTACATCTCACATGAGCACCATGTGCACCTGACCAAGTGCAGAAATCGTTCATTTTCTCTGTATGCAATTTCAAAATAGTTTGGGAAAAGTTCTCTCAGCAACACAACCACCTCCCTATCACTTTCATCTGAAGTCACTACAAACTCAGTGAAACCTTCTTCCTAAGAGGAAGCATTTCTCTGGAGTTCTCTCCCTTTTCCTCATAATTATTCAGTGTCTGTCTGTAGTTCTAACATGTCAGAGACTATGTAATACACTTCATTAGATCACTGATCGAGTCACTGCAATGAATTTCCTACTTGTATTCATCATCCCCCTCTTCTTTTAGCCCTGGATCTACTTCATGCCCCTCCTTGTTCCATCTTGTGAACACTGACTCTACTGCTCCATGACAGAAATAAAAACACAAGCACACGTTAGCACCAACAAATCCTGTATTACAAGGACTCGAATTCCTATGGATGCTTTGACCCAGGATTTAAATAAAAAACCCAACAAAAAAACCACAACAGAAAAAAAAAACAGAGCGAGGAAGAGATTTTCCTTCTAGCATGTACAATACTTAAGAGGATCAGGGAAGCACATTTCTTTTACTATTTTTGACCCTAGAACAGCAGACATACACATCTAAAAAACTCATGTACTGACCAATTTCCAGGTACACAGCACTACTCATGTAACATGTCCCCTCTAAGATGCCATTTCTAAGCATTATTTGTATGATGGGGGTCACTATAGGCACATAAAGAACTCCAGTAAAAGCTGTGCTGTAACTGAAGTTTATACCAGCACTGTTGCAAAACTGTGTTCACATCAGCTATAATGACAGCATTTTCCTTCTCCTTTTTCAAGTGTTTCAGGTTTTTTTATTGGTACATCATACCTGAAAGCAGGTACACAGAACTGAAATTCTTCTCCAGTTTGCCCAGGAGCACAGTAAGAAAGCAGTCAGATGAGAGAGACGTCACATCTTTAGAGCTTTGGTCATACACCACCACTTCCTGCTTGCAATCAATTTCAATCTGAAACACAAGTAATTCAGAATGAGATAGGAAGGAAGAAGATGATTAAAAGCACCACATTATCACTTGCACCAGGGTTCCCACGTATTTGCTATGGAGCAGTTTAAATATATAGATTTCTTACACAGCTGTATGGAAAATAGTTTTTATTTTATACTTAATACGCCTGATCAGATTTAATTCCTTTGAAAGTCTGTAAATTGACTACTTGCTCCAAGCTGAAGCATCCTCTGTACATTTCTACCATTAGGTAATTTTATGTCACTTGTAAAATGCTTTACCTTCCACTAGATTGGGTGGCTTGTTTAAAAAGTCAGCTTTTTTAAAAGAAGGCCCTACTTCAGTTTCTGCTTCTGGCTTTTTTTTGTGTATGAACAGTAAAGAGACTTTAAACTGCCTGAAACCACATACATTTTAGCCATCTATACAACATTATGTATGGAAAATAGTTTAGATGGTAGTTGTAATAAAAGTCTTCAGTTTTTAACATGGCAAAGCAATAATGTAATAGATTACTTCTGTAACCAACACATTGGAAACAAATACCAATGGATTAAAAAAAACCCCACACATAGATACACATTAAGTTTAAACAACTTAGCTATTTTCTTTTCACTAGTAACACTATACGAAGAAACCCCACAACAAAGCCAAAACCCCAAACTACTCACTGACAAGTATTTTAAACAGCAAGTAGAAGCCAGGATTGAACTGTATGACCATCACCAGGGACCCTGAGGAATCCTTCAAAGTTTAGAATGAGAACCTTTCCTGTCTTAACTACATACATTTAAGGAACTGTGCTTTTCAAGACATAGAAGAACCCTGAGAGTGGGTTTTTTTCTGAGTCATTTCCAAATCACTCCCCTTTACTCTGTCACTTGGAGAAGAGCTGGCTACAAAGAATCTCAAAAGATAAACTGAAAGTAGTAACCAATGGCCTCCTACATCAGGTAAGAGCCCAGCAAACCTCAGTCCCCTAATTTTGCTTTTTAAAAAGGAATTCCCAAAAGAAAAATAATTCCCAGTCACTTTCCAGGCGTTCCTTTAGACAAACACAAGGAGTAACAGGCGAATGACCTTATGTTTTGCTGAATGCTGGATGAGCTCTGTGATCAGCACTTTGTCCTGCTGCAGCCTCCTCTTCATCAGCTTGGAGCAGTTGATGTTGATGGCATCCAAGATGTGGGAGGTGTTGTACTCCACAAAGGGGCGGCTATCAACCAGCAGCAAGGTTTCCGTCCCGCTCTCCAGCAAAGCCACCAGCTTCTCGGCGACGATGAGTTGAGTCCTGATCATCTCATCGGCCATGACAACAATACGGCCTCTTTCACCACCTCCCGCTCTAATTGGCTGTGATGATGTAATGGCTGTGTGCTCAAAGGCTTAGCCACACCATTGTGCTGGGAGGGTGTGAGGTCATGCTGGTGGCGACTGGCAAAAGAAAAGTTAAACCCATTTTTCAGAAAGAGCTCTTCAGCTGAATGTCTCCTCCTGCTTCCAGTCGGGGTGCCGTTACAAAGGCTCCGCTCTACAAAGCAGCCCCTCACATCTGATTCATCGGGAGATGACTATGGAGCAGCCATTTCACAATTCCAATAAAAGATGCTTTCTGGCTGCTGCTGAATTACATCATTCTTTACCTTTGCTCCCACCCATCAGCTTCACACTCTGGACTAAGAGCCTGTAAGAAAAGGAAGAAAAAAAAACAAAACCACAACCATAAACAAGTTTGCAGAACAAAACATTCAAGACTCACTGCATACTGGTCTATATCACAAAATAATTCCTCTCTCTGCTGTATATGCCAAACACCTAGAGAGAACTTGCAACTACAGTCTCTGAATCTATTCCAGCAATCTTGCCTGGACAATTATCTTGCATTTCAGGCAATGTACCCTGTCTTAATTGCAGACTTTTGTTGCCACTAGCTCTGCTTCTTCACAAAACTTTGTTAGAATATAATTAAGAGATACTGCCCTTTCAATAGCAAAACCAATTAGGTGCCTTTCGGCACTTCACCACTTAGACAGAAGTTGTAAAATTAATTAAGGGGTTTTTTAATGTTTAATGCCTGGAAAGTATTTCACAAATCAGCGCTGCAAGTCGGGGAACTGAAATTGTATCAAAGGAAGGACAAAACTTAAATCCACCTCTCTCTTTTAAGAATATGGTTGAAGAGAAACCAGAAAAGCAAGATGCTACATCAGGACACAAGCATTTTATTTTAATTAATCACCAGACACAGAACAGAGGCCTCATGAATACACTACTGAAAGGTAAAGCAGTGTGCACTGTCTTTGGCCCTCCTGCAGCAGGTGAGACAGTTCTATGAGGTGCATTATACTTTTCAGATAAATAATATCTGAAGCAAACTACACTTCTGTAAAACTAGATCCTGGCAGCACCTGAATCACATCAACCTAATCAGCAGCAGTAAAAACACCTGACATGTTTCACCACTGCCTCACAGTTGTCCTCAGGCTTCTCAGAGTATCCCAAAATCCACTTTGATGGAACAAGTCCCTATAGGAAAACTCCTCAGAAAGGAGCCATGTTTGTCCATAACAGATTTAGCTGCACTCTAAGGCATATAGTGCTGTAGATATAAATAGAATAGAAAACACAAGTCAAGTTGCTTTGCTCCCACAGTTCAATACTTGGTATCTTTGTGCCATCATGGATATTTGACAGAGGTCTCTACCTAAGGCTGTGAGGAAACACAAGCCACACGTTCAGCTGCCTTGGTAATTAATTCCAGCAAGAGGAGATAACTGAGGGCGGTGACTTCTTCAACCAAGGTGGTGGAGCTGACAGGTTAGAGCTGTACATGGGAGGATAAGCCTGACAGAGTCCTAACCTCTGCAGTAAAGGCAGACTGCTTGAAAATGAGTGATTTGGGCTCAAATCAGTACAGGCTAAAGTCAACTCTGCAAGAAACCACATCTCCACACTTTGTGTATCTCTCACATCATCGCATTCCCTTTCCTATTCTGGGGAAGTGATTTGAGGTCACAAAACTATGCAACAGCTCTTGCACAAGGTGCCACACACCTTCAAACGAGTCTTAGGTCAGTTCCGGCCCATGCCACCCAGGCTGTGACTCAAGCAGCCTTTCTATCTCTGCCTTCTGCTGGGTGGGACAAAGCAAAGTAACACAGCTATCCTAAAACCAAAGTGACCAGCTAAAGACAATAAAAATCCAATTGATTGACACTCCTGAGGCAGCAAAACATTTGCAAAGAGAAGCAAGTGATGAGGATGCATTTTCCTGGCTTCTTAATGGACAAATGGGGATGAAGACTCTATATTTTTTTTTCTAAATAATAACTTTACATGCTTCAGTTTGAAATGTTTGTTGTGTATCCTAATTGCAGGAGACGTAATTAATTCAAACTAAATTACTGATAGTTTATTAAAAGTCATGTTACAGTAACAGGGTGATGGGAAATCTCACGTCAGCAGATGTTTCACTCATTAGATATGCAATACAAATCTAAACATTCAAAATCTTAACTAGATCAAACTCTGAAAAAAGTAAAAGCTTCACTTTAACAACCCAAAAAAAGACAACTGAAAGGAACTTATTTTGTAAGCGTTTCACGTAGCAATACCACAAAACCACCAGGTTTCATACAAACAGCCATTAGGATGACAAAGTGTGATTTGCTGTTTGCCCTGACTCTACAGCTACAGAGCCAGTGCTTTTCAGCGTGGCCAGATAAATTGAAGCATACAGCATATTGCTCTAAACTACAAAAATGATTGGGAAATTACTATACTGAGCCTTAATTAAACCTATTTTAAAAAAACCCCAAACCCTAGCTTAGCAACTCAGTTGGCAGGTGTGAAAGACTTGTCATTATATACTGGACTCAGGGTTTCTGTACACAGGCTGGAAGATACCAAAAGACTATGCCATCATGCAAGTGGGAAAAAAAGTGAAACTTGATAGTTTCGTCCATATTTTTTAAATTATTTTTTTTTGCAGAGAGAAAAAAGTATTCTGCATTTTTCTTTATTTCTCTTAACATGCCCTGTCACAAATTTTTATTCTCTCTTACTCATATCAAAGGCTGCCAGACACCAAACCCACTGAGCTCAATGAAAACTTTTCCACTGGCTCTAGTGGGAATTGGCTCTAGCTCTTCTGTGAGCTAGACAGTTTGTTCGTGAACTAGACAGTTTGTTTTGATGGGTAAATTGCTGACTTAAAGTTCAAGTAATAACAGGAAAATAAAGCATCTGAGAAAGTACAGGACTCTAAAATGGAGACAGTTAAACATAAGTAATCTTTGATTTGCAACTTTCAGTTTAGGTATATTTCTTATTTTCTAAATGCTTACTGCTTGCTGTCTCAGCCTTCACTCTCATATGACATGTTTGTTTCAGAAGACCCTTAAAGAGAACTCAAACCAGTCATATATGGTGACTGGATAAAGAGCATGTAAAGAACACAAGTCAAGAATCCTTTAAAATAACACTAATACCTTAACGTGTTAAGTTGCTGAAAGCATTCTACCAATGGCTTGAAAGTAATAAACTTAACAGTAACGTCACCTCAAGTTATTGTGATTGAAATCCTATTTTGACAGGGACACTCCACTGGGCAAGGGAGGTACATTTTTATAAATTACAGGGTTTTGGTTTGGGTAAGGTCTCACTGTTTCTGGTACCACCAGACTTTGGGACTCTTCCTTGTGACCTATCTAAACAAGAGGAACTGGCAGATTCCTTTATTTAAACACTAGAGCTGTCCTCCCTTTCCTGGTTACTGCTCTTACCATTCAGCTACTATGAGGAGCTGAAGTACCTGTTTCATTTCTAATTATGGTTTATAAAAAGGCAAAATTCAATTTCTTGACTGTTCTCTTTCTTCTCTGCTACTTGTGACTTAGATCACAATGGCATGTATTGACACCATAGTGTCTCATAAAATGATGCAATATAATGCTTTGCCCTAAGTAGGCCATTATGTTGCTGATCTTCAAGCTAGGAAACCATCTTAGTCACAGGATGTTCTACACCAAAACGAGGATTACAGAAAAGTGAGCTGTAATCAAGCTATGAGATTACTGCATGAAGTCACTCACATACACTCTGGTAACACTGCTTGGCTTCCTCCTCCTTGTAGATGGGCTGCAATATGTGGCACTCCTTGTTACCTCTTCTTTTCCAGGGGAAAATTAACTTTTAATTCGCTGTAAAAATAAAAAGATGTGTTCCACGCTCACCCAGTGTCTTCACAGTTTCTCCACTGTTTAAAGAACCAAAGCAACAATAACCCTACTATCTTCCATACCAAAACCAGTGGATCTCTAATATGTATATGTAATGCTGCCACAAAACTACAGGATCCCTCTTTGGCTCAGGATTCTTGTCCCCACCCCAAATGGCTCAGATGGAGTGAAGCAGGCAAGCACAGAACTGGAAACCTGGCACTTAAGTTTGATTCTTCAGTCACAATAACTCACATGTGCTCCTAATTTCTACTTCTACCACTTCCAACTCCAAGCAATTCCCTTACATCACAGGAGGACACTTGTTTGAGTTATCTCAGGCTTTGCCCCATATGATGGCAACCATTTTTAAAGAGGCAGATGCGGAAAGAATGTACTTTTAAAACTCTTGGTGTGACACTAATTCTGCTTCAGTTAAGGAACTGGCAGAAAGCTTCTAGAAACCTTGCTACAATCTCTAAAAGGCTTCTACCTCATATAAGAAGACAACCTTGAAGTTGAACCGTGGTGTCATAAACACTCGACAGTTTTGTTCCCGACATCACTAATTCCTGCTTTGTCAGGTGCCTACAGCAACGCTCCCACATTTGTTCCTGCTGGATGGCAAAACGCCAGCCAAGTAACTTAACAGCATCCCAACATCAGAAGGTCCTGAAGGGCAGCTTTTGGACACTCAGCCCGAGATACCTGAAAGAGTTGATTTTTAAAACAATGCATTTTTACACTATCTAGAGCCAAACACAGGCACATATGAAGAAAAATATTATCTTCCCCCGCAAATTTCCTTTCCTGCTTCTTAGGGTGGACACCAATGCAAAAATGAAACCCAAAAACCAAATCAAAACACAGAGGTAGGAGCTCCTAAACAGCAGGATGCACGTCACTGCTGGCACAGCAGCTGTTTCCAAAGGAGTATTTGGCTTCAGTGTTACTGAGCTGAGAGCTGCAAGTGGTTCAATAGCCAGGGCAAATACCATCAGCACCAGCCCCTGCCATCATGGCCACACGTGATACTCAACAAACAAGCCTACACCATCTCCTGCATCAGAGAGGAACTCCTCATTTAGGGGTCACAAGGTGAATTCCCACTCCTGAGAGATGTGAACATAGGATTCCCTCACTT